GACGAGTGGTTCAAGATGAAGTATGTTTCTCTTCTCAGTTTTCTTCAGCTTGTTCTTATTAGCTTTGCCTGATTATTGAGTTTGGGCAAGATTGCTGCATTAGATCGTGTGGGCTTGTGTTTGGATAAGAATGCTTTTCAAGGAATTGAGTTGTGTTGTTCTTGTACACGGAAAATTCTATATGAGGGTTGGATTTTGAAAGAAGCAAGCAATGTTTCTCTCTATCTTCATGACGTTGTTTAGATTCTCCTAATGTTTACTAATTTATTCTCAGGCTGCAACGCATTGTTTTTTGTTCATTTTACAACAGTTAATGGCAGCATTTGTACATCCAGCATTTAGTGACTTCATTTTTGTGGCAGGGGACGTGTGCAATGGGACGAGGCAAATCTTGTGGAAATTGAATCCAACAAACCTGTAAGACAGAAGATTACTGAACCAAAGACACCATATCACCCAATGATTGATGAAGATGGTTCGTACATTTCTGTTTTTTTGGTCTTTATCCATCTTACCAAATGACCAAAGCCGTTACTTCATGCACCTGTTTGGAAATTGGAACTCGTGCATACATGCGTGATCAGAAACATGCAGAGAAAGAAAATGAAATATATACGATTCGATATGCCTAGAAACGTAAACATGTCTTGGTAATGTGCCTGTAAAGGGTGTCGTTCATCATACTCAGTTGGAGACCTGCTGTTTCTGGAAGAAAGCTTAGTTCATGTTTCGATTGGTTGATTTGAAGATTTGTTATCCTTAAATTCAAGAGTAACAGGAGCGAATTCTGTATTTTGCTTCATCTCCTTTTGTAGAGAGAGAATATCTTTCTGATCCCTGAATTTGTTTGATTGTATCAGGTTCTTTGTCTCCTAGAGGAAGAACATTTGACGAATGCGTTGATGATATGCAACATGCGGAAGAACTAAGGAACGTTCTGAGTGATGTGGCTTCTTCTAGTAGAAACACGAGCCAAATATCTGGTGACTGGGCCTCGTCTGATGATGAAGCAGATCGAATGGACGAAGACGAAGGTTCTCTTAAAAAAACCCAAATAGATCATATTAACGATCTCATCATGTCTGATTCTGTCTGCATGTCTGGATCTTTTTGCTGTGCATTTAGGTTCTTGGCTACCAATCATACTGTGCCATTAGCTTCACAAGATTAGTTCCAGAAATAAGGAAAAAAGGCCTATGCCAGATTTATAATGGTATTCTAAGATTAACATCAGCACTTTAAACTGAATGTTTCGGGGTTTATGCTACTTGCAGATTCTGAAAACGAGAGGAGCGCAAGTTTCAGGGAACACAGAAGAGCACACTACGACGAGTTTCTGAAGGTAAAAGAGCTGAGATCTTCAGGAGGTTTCCTCGACGAGGAAGAAGAAGATGAAAACAGCGAGAGAGACCCTAAACCAGAGGCCGCATCTCCGGCAAAAGCGGCCGAGGCTGAGACCAAGTCGTCGGGAAAGTCTTCTTCATAAATCAGCAGTTGATAAAGAGCCTCCAAAGCGGATCAAATGTATGGCCTCTGTTCCAACTTCGTGTTTACTCTGTTTTTTTTAATCGTGTTTGGGTCTTTTGAGGAAAAAGAAAACTATGATTGTAATCTTAATGCAATTTGGGTTGGATTTCTTACATGCCCTTTTGCTTGCTTTGTCTTAATACTCTTGTGGAAGTTTCGGTAATAAGTATTCGCATTATAAAACCAAAATTTGTTACATATAAGTACGTGGTTTAGTTCAAATACATGACTCCGTGTTGGAGAAAAGTTCAAAATGAATAACAAAAACACATACGTACCCGATACGATATAAGTTTTTAAGCTCATATCTTGCTGTAATCTGGAATCTGGATATGACTTCGAGCCTGTAACACGTATGAATAATACGGAATCCGGATATGACTTCAAGGTGTGTAATCACTTTCCTAAAAGCGTTATTCTATCCCTACCGAATAAATGAGATTACATGAATACACTTTTGAGATACAATGAAGCTTCAATGATTTCGGATTACCCTTCCGAAAATCATCATATAAAAACTTGTTTATGAAGATGAACACAACCCCTTTTGATTGAGTTTGCAAGAACCATCAAAAGCAACACTCAAAATCTCTCAAAGAGTTAATCTCTATCTTTTTACCATTTATTCTGACGTTTTTAGTTTATAAACACTAAAAGACATCATCAAAAGTTACAAAAATCCGGCAGTTTTCATGCGAAGAATCGCATCTGTTCGTTTTTTGAAATCTGACTCGGGCCGAGTTACAACTGACTCGACCGAGTTACCCTTGACGTGGTCCGAGTTATGTCTGACTCGGGCCGAGTTACCCCTGACGCGGTCCGAGTTACATCTGACTCGGGCCGAGTCAAGTTCCTGTTAAAACATGATTTTCTTTCAGACTTCTGACGCGGTCCGAGTTACAACTGACTCAGACCGAGGTACCCCTGACGCGGTCCGAGTTACATCTAACTCGGGTCATGTTAAATCTCTGTGCAAAACGAAATTTTCTCTCAGAAAGTAACACGGTCTGAGTTACTTCTAACACGGACCAAGTTACATCCCTGTAACAAAAATTTCGTTTTAGTCAGAAAGACTGAGTGATACCTCACTCGGATTGAGGTATACCTCACTCACGAACCGAACTGATTTACTGCACAAACAAACATATATTTTACCGATCCATATCATATCCTTTATGAATATATAACTCCTCCACCATATTCATAATACATATACATATGAATCTCATGAGAGATTATTTCGATCAACCGTTTACTCTAAAATATCCAACAATCCTCCACCATTTTTAGAGTAAACAACAAATGATACCATAAGTGTTTTTCATACATTTTCCAATTTTGTGCGTAAGTGGATAGTATCGAAACGATTGAACTTCCACGTAGTGAAATATACTTTAATAACTCGAATTACGTAGATGTCTTTACAGATTGAACCTCGTAATCCTGTTGAGCTAACGAATACATAACACACACAAAATCAATACAAGTTTTTGTTTTTTCTGACGCTTTTATAAGGCCATGTGTCCATATCCATTCATGAATGCATCAATGCCAAGCCATAAAGCATTTTGAAGCAGCCAAACTTCGCATTCACATAGGTAGATCTTTTAAAGATCATGTCGTGCAACTCGACATTTTTTTTTCAAAAGAACTATTAAAGAAAACTTCCAACCTCTTTTACGTTGCATATTCAAAGCACCAATCTTGGGATGATTTTTATTTGTGTGCTTTCAATTACAATAATAAAAGGTTTAACTCTTTGAACTCAAGGTCTAAGGTTGTATTAAATGTTGAGTAGAGATCATTTTATTTGTGATTAACGTTAAAGCTTTGTTCCCATCCCTAAATCATTTTGTGCATACTAACATTGACAATTTCCGTCAATCGTTTTCCTTTGCACAAAATAACCGACATACAAATATTTTTACACATAACTATGATTTAACATGTATGCCTTTATATCATTAAACAATACGTATTCATACCATTATTCACCATGATAACTTTTATTATTATTCCCAGTTATACCTCATTGGTATTCTACTTGTATCTCGCCGGTATACAACTCATATCTCACAATAACTTCTTACTAAGTTATTCCGTGAAATATAAACATATCAATCACTTTCCTGAAGAATAATAATCTTCTTCGTGATTAATATTCCACAACAAAATCTTCCTTCTCTCGAAATAATTTAACATTATAGTTTAGATCAAACTACAATACATGATCATTTTTCCAACCGAAAAATATCTACATACCGAAGAAAGATTTCTCGTTAGTTTTTTAACCAACAAGACACAAGCAACATAAAACATCCTCTTTATGTCTAAAATACCTTATTAGAGAAATCTCCGATATCTTCAACTTGAACCGTTGAAATCCGATATCCACCGATCATAAAACCCGATCAGTTTTTTATACACGGATTTAACCGAGACTTTGAGTATATTATTGCTTCATTATCAACATCAACCATTGAAGTCATAGAGCCCAAATAACGCTTTTAGATTGTTGGAGAAAAGTTCAAAATGAATAACGAAAACACATACGTACCAGATACGATATAAGTCTTCAACCTCGTATCTTGCTGTAATCTGGAATCTGGATATGACTTCGAGCCTGTAACACGTATGAATAGTAGGGAATCCGGATATGACTTCAAAGTGTGTAATCACTTTCCTAAAAGCGTTATTCCATCCCTACCGGGTAAATGGGATTAAAGGAATACACTTTTGAGATACAGTGAAACTTCAATGATTTCGGATTACCTTCCGAGAATCATCATACAAAAACTTGTTTATGAAGATGAACACAACCCCTTTTGATTGAGTTTGCAAGAACCATCAAAAGAACACTCAAAATCTCTCAAAGAATTAATCTCTATCTTTTTACCATTTATTCTGACGTTTTTAGTTTATAAACACTAAAAGACATCATCAAAAGTTACAAAAATCCGGCAGTTTTCATGCGAAGAATCGCATCTGTTCGTTTTGTGAAAACTGACTCGGGCCGAGTTACAACTGACTCGGGCCAAGTTACCCCTGATGCGGTCCGAGTTATGTTTGACTCGGGCCGAGTTACCCCTGACGTGGTCCGAGTTACATTTGACTCGGGCCGAGTCAAGTTCCTGTTAAAACATGATTTTCTTCCAGACTTCTGACGCGGTCCGAGTTACAACTGACTCGGACCGAGGTACCCCTGACACGGTCCAAGTTACATTTAACTCGGGCCATGTTAAATCTCTGTGCAAAACGAAATTTTCTCTCAGAAAGTAACATGGTCTGAGTTACTTCTAACACGGACCGAGTTACATCTCTGTAACAAAAATTTCGTTTTAGTCAGAAAGACTGAGTGATACCTCACTCGGGTTGAGGTATACCTCACTCACGAACCGAACTGATTTACTGCACAAACAAACATATATTTTACCGATCCATATCATATCCTTTATGAATATATAACTCCTCCACCATATTCATAATATATATACATATGAATCTCATGAGAGATTATTCCGATCAACCGTTTACTCTAAAATATCCAACACTCCGTAAGGACAGAATCCGTAACCGTAGCTGTATTTTCTTTTTAACCAATGCATATATTGCATACATTATCCAAGTACATGAACCCATCTTGTACCTTGGAATCATCTCAATATTATCCACCATGCGTTAGCCTTTCGAGCATGAGGGAAATCTCGACAATTTATAGTTGTAGACATTGTCCAAGAATCTGAAGCAAGCTAAGACTTTGTACCAAAACTGTGTCAGTTCCAAGTCATTTCTCTTCTTACAACCCTTTCATGGGAGTAACCCAAGCAACTCAACGCTTGTCTTGTTGAAGAACAGGACGGTGTGGCTTTGGGGCTGAAATCCGGAAAAAAAAAACTGAATATTATCTCCCAAGAACAAACCTGTAAGCAGAATCAGATTAAGAGGAAGAGGGTGTTTACCATTGGGATTTCCTTGTTCATAGAAAGTTCTGAAAAGAGATACGGCTTCTGATGCCATTATTCCTCCAGTGCTTCTGAATCCTTTTCTCTCTGGAGTTTCTTCACTACCAATTCAGAGCACAAGAACACCATTAGTAAAATGCATATGCGAATGTGAAGAACTTTGTCTGAAAATTTATCTCGAGTTTTCCACAGATTTGGCTCGGGAATTACGTGTTGCTGGAAGGCGGTGAGCTGCCTAAATGAAGAGACAAGATTGAGCCACATCCCCCGAATTTATCGTTCCCACATCCGTAATACACTTCCTTTATACCTTGATAAAGCATCAAGAACACAAAAACTGTCAGATGATAGTTAGATTCAGCACAAGAAAACCGTTAAAAGGATTATCGATCAATACCCAGAAATGATAAAGCCGATGCACACATTATGCAGGGTTCACATGTCACGTAAAGAACACATTTCGAGAACTTCTCAGCGACTTCTGAAGGGGATAACCCATCTTTCTTCCACTGCTCAAGAAGAACATCGATTGCTTCCATCTCTGCATGTCTTGTGGCCTGGACAATCATATCCATGATGGGTTACAACTAAGTCATGAAATGGCTGAAAAACCCGATGATGGATGTGTATTCCATCACCAGCCTGTATTCCTTCCTTCTCTTATCTTCCATGACTTAATACAGCAGAATTTAACGTTGAGAAAGTGAAAAGAGAGCAACCAGAAGTAGTTACATTGCGTGTTTCATTCGTTCGATTTCTTCCAGAAGCTTTGACCTTCCCATCCTCAAGAATCACACAGCTGTTCCAGAAAAGTGAACATTTCAAGAACGCACAATAGCAATCATCTGCTTGTTTTCATAAGGCGGAAAATGCAATAAGACATGACACATCCCAAAGAAGATTATCTGAATAACAGCCCTGAATCGAACTATGTCAATGAGAGTTCCAAGTTGTAACCTACGACAAGTGACATAATCTTGATCTCGGAACAGTCAGATCATTAAGAACATGGAGCAAAAGGCAAGAGTTTGAGATGAATATAAAGCTTACCCAACAGGGACCTCAAGAGCCTCGAGAGCAAGTTTAGCCTATCACCAAAAAGGGAATAAAAAACTAGTTTAAGGCAAACCCTTTTCCCTAAAGCGATTTCTAGCTTTGGGATTGAGCCTTTTGGCTTGAGGGTATACGAAGAATCAAACTCATAGCGCATACCTGATGTAGAGCAAGCTCCATGTAAGCAAGTGAATCTGAATGATGCTTCTCCTCAACTGATGCCATAACACCTGCGAGTTAGATTAACAGATATTAATATTTTTCATCATACAATACAAACCCTGAAATATCTCTACGATTCCCAAAGATAGTTTGGGAATTTCATCGAACAGCTGAGACTCACAATCCGAAAAAAAACCCTAAGATAGTTTGGGAATGGAACACAATCAGTAAAAATCGAAACTTTGGAATGGATTTCACTGGATTCGTATCTTTGTGCGCCACTTCGACGCCCATTTCTTATTAAGCATAGGGGTATTCTGGTAATTTTCAATGATCGGTGTTCTTGTCGTGGCCCTCTTTGAGACAATATCTCGAGCACCTGGTGTGCCTAATTCCTGAATCTGTGCAAGACCAAAACCTGCAATCTGAATTCGCCAACTTCTTACCACCAATCTACCGCTCACTAACCTAGTTGAATCTACCAGAGCTAAAACCCAAGCAAGAACTGAAAAAGTTGCAGAAAATAAAGCACACACCGGATAACGAGTTCGGACTTGGATGTTGATGCCAATGCAGGGATTTCTCCCAGTCATGTCCACCATTGATGATTCCTCAAACCTTTTTTAGGGTTTTACAAAGAATGCGGAAGAGAAAACTTACAAGATTTTTTTTTTCGAATCTTTCTTCTCGCATGAACCTCTGTATCACGAGTTCGCGTTCGCCGCCTTCACTCGTTAATATTCATAACATTTTTACATTGTATAAACTTTATTTGTGATAAAATTTAAATGAGTTGACAAAATAGTTTAGAGATGACAATAAAGCCTTAAAATTAATAAAAAAAATTTTTTATTCAATATCTAATACAAAGATAGAGTTTGAATTCAAAAAGTCGAACCTTTAGGTTAAAACACATAAATAAAAATTATCTTAAAATTGGTCTTTTGAATATGTAACATAAAGAAGGATGAATTTTTTTAAATAGATCTTTCAAAAAAATATCGAGTTGCACGATATAATCTTTTTAAAAGATCTAACTATATGAATGTGAAATTTGACAGCTTTAAAATAGTTTAAGGTTTGATATTTATACATTAATAAATGGATATGGATAGATGGTCGTTATAGTACCAAAGATTACATTAAATTTGTATTAATTTTGTGTGTGTTATATATTCGATAACTCGGTGAGAATTACGATATTTAATTTGTAAAGACATCTTTTTAATTCGATGTTATTGAAAATATCATTATATAAAAGTTCAAAATTATAAAAAAAGAAACATATGAATTGTTGTACTATTTACACTTTACTATAAATGGTGGAAGATTGTTGAATATTTTAGAGCAAATGGTTGATCCGTATAATTTTTCGTGTGTTTCATAATTATATATATTGAAAGAGCTATATATTTATAAATGATATAATATGGAAGGTATTATTCTATTAAAATAATCGTGTACCCATTTCATTATTTTTTTTTCCTTTTTCATATATAACACTTGATTACTAGATTCTTTATGAAAATAGTAAGTCTACCGTACTTTAGTTAAAATATATGCTTATCCCAGCTGGATAAAGATCAAATCATTCTCCTTTACTTCTATACTCACGACTTATGTTGTATGTGAAGATTTATGAGACAAATATTATCCAAATCTCTCTCCTAACATAACATAAGGAATAGATTGATATATAATGTTTTTTTTCAAACGGGTATAATTTTTTTTCTCTTTTTTTACAGGTTCGGATCGATTGCTTATCTCCATAAAACATGATGGTTAGAGTGATCGGAGAAATCAGATTCAAGTTTTCACGAGGAACATATAAGATCCGACTTGTAGTACCACTATAATTGCAGTTGTAGGTGTCAGCGTTCTCAATACATTTCTTGGCGATTGTACATGATTAATATTGAACGGTTGATAAATTGTTGTTGGTCGTGATTGTGTGTGATTGCGACTAAAAGTGAATTGTTGGCTACGTTTGTGGTTGCGATTTGATATACAAAAACTAAAAATGATATGATTTTAATATATTTTTTAAACGAGATTGTAATTATTTTTTATTATCATTTGATAAAAAAATTATTTACCAAAATTTTAAAATAATTAAATAAAAATTTTAAATTATAAATTTTGTCAATTTAATTTCATCAATTCTGGTCCTTTTTTTTGTTTTATCAAACACCATGAAATACTTTCAAAATACGAGTATAAAATTGCGATTAGAAATCTTGTATTTTGTTGCGGTTGGATTTGAATACAGTTCGACCCGTAAATTTTTTAATCTTCACAGTCGTCAGAAACCGTAACCGTTTTTATTTGCGGATAATAACGGTGCGACCAGTCACCCGTCTGGTCTTTAAACGCAATTAGGCAAACCTTGCAGAAAGTATGGAAGACATGTAATCTTGGGCAAGTTCCATGGTTGGGACATCAAACCGGTCCGGTTTGAGCTGGTCACGTAAGAAAGTCAACGCGTGCTGTCGGAGCGCCATGTGGGCGAATCAGGGAAGTGGGTTGCGTGCCATGTGGGTGATCGTCGTAGAGAATCCAGACTCAACCCTAAGGGTTAAATTCTGTACGCTTCGGATAGATTGTACACATACAAAAGAAGGGTGGGTTGTATTTGGACTCTGTGATAACATGTCCCTTCTGAATAATAATAATAAGAAAAACGATAGTAGTTAAAAAAGGAAGACGAGAAAAGCTATAGACGTTACAAGAAATGTCGTAGTCACACAAATCCCCCGTCTCCGTGTTTTTTTTTCTGTCATCTATACGAGATATTACAACCATAAAGTCCCACAAACCAAAGCCCTACTGCACTGTGTTAGTCAAAAGTGATTTAATAATATATATATATCATAAGCCAAACAGATCATTGTTGTTGAAGAACTCGTCGTCTGTGAAATCATGGGGAAGTTCAGGTACAGTTATATCATCCTCTGGCAAATGAAGGTTCTGAGGCAAATCCAGCGTTCTCTGAGAGTTGTTGTTGTTGTTCGAGGCTCCTTTGAAGCTGTTGCTTCGGCTCGACACTCCCCCTCCTCCTCCCGATACGTTGGAACTCGAAGGCGTAGCATTACCGTTCTGACCCGAAAACGAGCGTTGCCCTCCTCCTCCTCCTCCATTGTTAGATGACATCTCCTGCAAAAGCTGCCTCATCATCTGCTGTTCCTGCAGAGACTGGTTGTTACCTTGCTGCAAATGATGATTCTGCTGAACCATGTTGGCAGTGGCTGAAGTGTTAATCGTGCGATGTTGTTGAGGAGACGAGAATCCAGCCATGGGTAGGTTTTGGTTCTGCCTCTGAAGGGCAGAAGAAGATGGGCTCGGGTTTGAGTTTGTCGGGCTTTGGTTCAGGAAAGGAGGAGGTTGTACAGCATTGCCGTTCATCCCGTTTTGCCTCATAAGCATGCTCTGGTAGTTGGTCAGAGCCATCGCGGCTTGAGCTGAGCCACTTAGAGCTCCACGACCACCAACCATTTGGTTATGATTATTGCTGTTGCTGTTGCTGCTGTTAGTCGGGCTGGTCATCATCATCATCCCCTGAGGCAAAGCCATTTGACTATTGGGAGCACTGTTCACCAAATGCTCCATCTCCTGCATTTTCTGCCTCTGAAGCTTCGCTGCTACCGTCTGTTCAGACAACCTTTTTAACCCCTCTACATTCACCAGAAACGACACGAGGCCGTACCAGAAATCAAAACGTTGAATATATCACAAAATTCCCTCTCTTCTGAGTTTGTTCTTATCGGTAAATAAAATCTATAATCAAATCCTGTTAACCGGATCAAATACAACCTTGGCAGTGACTCAAAACTTATCAGAAGATAAAGATGGATATTGAACAATAGCGTCTAGATGGGCCTAACATTTGTTAGCTTGAATTAGATACCATAATCGCTCAAGTGATTGTGAATTGTGAAAGCTAAACACAACATAAGAAAGAACTACTTTCAGATATCTTTTAATTAAGACGAGTAGATACCTACCTATTGGGCCGATTTCATGCTCCCCGGAGAAATTCATCAGATCTTTCATGCTCTTGACAACTTCCGCTATCTGCCATCCACCATCGCTAAAAACTATAAGGAGACTCGAAAACCCAGATATCAAATTAATAAGGGAAATGAGCAAATCAGTACCTGTAATGTTCGGATGTATCTTTTTGGATAACCGAGATCATTCAACGACTGTAATTCAAGGAATTTTACCAGTTGTCGTCCCGCTGCCAGAACCCTAAAAGATATAGGCACCAGTCAACAAATTGCCACTACACAAATAAATAAAGCCTGAGGGACACAGCCTTCTCCAACACCTAAATAATGGTAGGAAGCTGAAACAACGTGCTTCCCTTCCACACCATGCCAAAATTTCAGGCCTCAAAGCAACAAGATAATTTTTTAGACCTTAGCCTATGATCGATTAGAAACCAGTAGATTGCATGCTAAATGGATAAGTAAACACATACAATGGGATGCAGAAAGGTGAGTAAAAGTGTGATGGAAAAGTTTACATGTTACTGTTTGACTGTAAATCCAGCTGAGAAACACTCTCTGACCCGCTTTCTGAGATCGTGCTCTGGCATTTCTGTGCAACCTGAACCAACTGATTCACCTGCGTGGATGGGTCACGAGTCCAATGTTAACTAAAAGATTAAAAAAAAACGGTATGGTGTGACTAGGGACAAAGGGCATAAACTATCAAATCCTTCAATCCCTTAATTCATATGCAGGGTCTATAAGGTTCTATTGTTGAGCTCAAAGTATCTCAAGTCAAGTCCCAAATTTTGCTTGTAGAAGATACCATCCAGTCCTTGCGCAATAATTTAAACTTTTTTGGGATAAACTATTCCTAACAGCAAATGGAGGTTTGAGGCATCACATAATGGAGATATAACCGTAGAAACATAAGAGGGCATATAACGAATGAGTAGCAAAAAGCAAACATTACACAGATGTTGATCTGCCTTGACATGAGCCGAATATATAAAATTACTGGCAGTCAAATAAACTGCTCGGCTTCTACCACGCAACAAAAAGTCTTGAGCTTTGGGCAAGAAAAGCAAAGGAGAGATTAGGTTATGCAAATTGTTGTACCTGTGGAGCAACAAGCCTGCGAAGAAAAAGTTCTTCATGACGTCGAGCACAAAACTCCCAAGACAGTATCTAGGCAAAACAAGAGACAAGACGTTAGCAGATGCTTGTGTTGAGAAGAAGAAAAATGGGAGAAAGTGGAAAATGAATTCAAGTATGAGCTCGTCTAAGAACCTTTAAATCCTGGGTGAATATTATCCTAAGGTGACCCTCACGGACAACACGAAACTGCTCATGTACAGATTCTTGGACCGCTTTTCTATATTCTAACATCATCAGTCCAGAAGGAAATCTGCTTTCACGTGGGTAGTCAAGATATAAGAGCTCATCAATGATGCCGCTGCCGAATTTTATTTCATTAAGTCTAGCAAGCACATCAAAGCTCGCTTCTGCACAGTTACACGAGATGACAATATATTAGATGTTCTGACTAACAATAGGTTTCATAAATTAACGCAAAAAGTTTGTCCAATCAAATGGCTATACAACCAAGGCAAGCACCCATAGGCAGCCAATACCTAGTGTATAATTGAATTGAAGGCTCAGAAATTCAAGCACACAATGATGGAACCCATAATTTTCTTACCAAATCCTCTTCCAGACTTCGTGCCACAAAGATCACAATGCCAAATATCCTGCAAACAGAATAAAAGGTAACTTTTATCAATGAGAAACTTGCAGTTCTTCAATCAGTATACCATATAGAAATAGTAAAACACGTAAACAAGCATATAACTGTGAATCAGCTAAGGCACACATATGAGAACATTTTATCACACAAGATGAGTTACACCTAAGAGAACTTACTGGAGCTGGCTGAGAGAACATGCCAAGTGCATGGTGGCCAGCACTATCATACTGTGACAAACATAACCTTTGTTTTGCACGAGGTGAGTAGTATTCTGCAACAAATTTCCTCCAATAGGAAATGCAATTTTCCTACAGAATTAAACCAGCATCAATAATCAGACAGTTAAGAATCTTGAGGAACACAAAAGATATATCTGGGCGTTGTTATGCATCTGCTCTGTCTATAAAATATAAGCTTACAGGCCGTTGTTGTTGATGATATAAGTACATCATCAATCTCCGCGCACATACACCGCCTTCAAAAGGGCGGACATTAGGAGGGATCTGTTGCATTCCTTGCTGCTGTAGTTGCTGCCTCAACTGCTGCTGCTGCTGCTGCTGAAGCTGGAGTCTCTGTGACGGTGACATGGACTGAAGAAGCTGTTGTTGCTGTTGCCTAAGCCTCTGCTGCTGTAGCAAAGCTTGTAACTGAGGATTCCGGCCCATGGGATCCTGCCGTTGGAGCAACTGCTGTAAGACCTGCTGCTGCAGCAAGTCTTCTTGCTTCACTTCTATCCTTGGTTTCTTATCCACATGGCCAATGTTACTTGGAGCCATTGGAACTGAAGCTTGTCCCGATGGGTGAATAGGCAACGAAGTAACTTTCGAAGCTCCTTCCAGCTGCTGCTGCTGCTGCTGCTGGGGTTGAGGATTCGGTTGCATTGCAGCAGAACCATCAAGAATGGATGAACTCGGCATGTTCATATTGTTTGATGAGAAAGACATTGGTGACGTTGGGATCCGCATATTACTGACACTAGTGCTTCTTGGAATATTAGGCGTACCCGGAAGCATCAATCCAGCATCTGTCACTGAAGAACTCGATCCGGCACCACCAGCTCCACGGGCTAACGCGTTGTATGCAGCATTGTTCATGCCCCCCCAAGAAACCAGACACGGGTCGAGGAGTCACTGAGTGACAAGATCAAACCCTTACCCTCAGAACCAAACACCAATAATCTGAGGAAGAACGGACAAAATCTTCTCGACCAACAACAAAGGCAAAGTGACACCAAACCCAAGCAATTGCAAAACCTACTTCACCACAATCGTCGCCTACTTCCTTTTCACCGACCAACTAAGAAGGCTATCTTGAATTCAAACTTTCGGAAGCTAAGAGTTATGAAGATATAAATAACCTTCTTCACAGCTCTGAGCAATCGGAGAGCAGAAGCTGCAACAATATATCAAATCAAAAGCAAATCAACAACCAGAGATACAAATCCGAAACGGGAAATCCAATAAGCGACAAATAAAATCATGTCAAATTCAACAACAATGGCGAGTAACACTCAAAAACCCTAATTACCAGATAAACGTAGCAAATCAACAAAATCTGAGCTTACGCGAAAGTGAAAATCTCAGATTTCTAGGCAATTCTCAAAGGGAAACTGTTCAAACTACCTTCAAATCAAATCGCTAACTCGAAATCAATGAGAAAAAAAAACCCAGACTAAGCCCAAAATGAAAATACAAATTAACTTTCACCATACATCGAGAAGACTTGAAAAATATCTACACAAGCCGAACGAACTGAAACCCAAAAATCCAAAAAAACAAAAACAGGACAAAAAAAGTTCGAAAGACGCGTAAATCGGGGAAGGAAAATTACGAACCTGAAATCTCGATGAATTACGAATAAATAAATGAATTTTTCTTCTGAGCCTAGAACAAAAACACGATAAAAAAAAAATCGTAGACGGAAAGGAGGTATACAAGTCAGTTTATAGACCTAGCGGGAACACCAGGAGAGGGGTCACCGGCTGCACCGGTCAACAAGACCGACATCGTGTACCGTATGAGACCGGCACGTGCCGTTCGAATGATCATTGGACTAGATCTCGCGGTGGCAGTGGGTCCATGTCACGTGGAAGAATATCATTCGTTGGATTTAAGTAAAAATCCTATCATAGATCATCATGATTTTTTATGCATCGGTTTACTCTCTGAGGCGAAAATCTGGTGCAGCCAGGTGTACTGAGACCTTCAGATCTCGCAATGTTTACACCACTTATGCCACGTCAGCACAGTTACCCAGATTCAGAATTTACCGCGCTGAATTTTTTGTGGGAAAATTAGTAATGATGCCTTTAGTTTTCAATTAATTGCATAATTATAGTAGAGTACCTACTAGTAATACAGATTTTCAAGAATATAAAAATCAATTTAATATAAAACTAGTGAAGTTTTAAGATATATATATATATATATGTCACTAATTAGTGATAATTTATTATGCAAAAAAAAAAGTTCAATAGGATGGTTTGCTAACCCCAAATTCTAAACTAAATGATTTTGAATTTTAAAGTTTAATTTTTAAATTTCCGAATTCCCTGTTAATAAATTAAAAAACGCATATCACTGAATTATAAGAGGGTTGGGTTCCAAACTGGCTGAGTTATATATTAGAATCATCTAACATGTATATATTAGAATTATCTAATATTAATTTAAATTACGTAAGCGGGCCATTAGAGCAAGAGACAACATGACGTCGTCAACTAGGGGTCGGCAGAAATTTACGGATCGGACACGGATAACAAAATCGAATATTTGTGCGGATCGGATACGTATACAGATATCTTAAAAATCTCGGATATCCGATCCGTGTCCACCCCTATCGTCAACTATAAGCTTTGAAATGTACGCTTTCCCTTGTGTAATCGTATACACCCGATTTTGGCCTTAAACTTTCTCTTTGTATTTTTTAAAAAATAAATATACGAGCAAAAAACACGATAGAAAATAATTTTAACAGTTCAGTTAAAAAAACGGTATTCAAATGAATAACTGTATTTGCATTTCATATATAGGCATCACATGTGAATAAATTATTACAATTCCTCTGTAATAATTCAGAAAACCCATCGATTTATACTCTTCATTTTTATTTTACGATGTATAATATTTCGAGACAAATTATACTGTGCTTTCAACCCATTTTGTCATGTAGTCCACTGCAACCAGTATGTACCCACATTACGATGGAAACGGATCCATGAAGTTTATTCCCCAAACGTCGAATGGCTCGACCTCTAGTATGTAGTTCTGCGGCATTTTCTGTCCCTGGATATGTTCCCTATCCGTTGGCATACGTCGCAAGAAGTGATAAAATGATGGACATCGCGAAACATTGTGGGCCAATAGAAACCGACTTGAAGGATCTTAGTTGTCGTCCTCGGAGCCCCTTAATGCTTGACGTAATCAGAAGAGTGACATCCACATATAACATTCTGCACCTCATCCTTGGGGATACAACGACGGAAAATCCCGTCCAATCCCCTCTTGAACAAAAAAGGGTCATCCCAAAAATAACTCCTAACATCGCAGATGAATTTCTTCCGCCTGTTATAAGTGAGCTTAGGAGGAGTTACTTTTGATACCAAATAGTTAACAAAATCAGCGTACCATGGTGTGTCTTTATTGATTGATATAGCTATGATCTGTATTGGTTTAGTGCTCTATGATGTGTTGTTTGCGAGCTTTACTTGGATGCATTTGATGTATTGACCCTTTCTATGATTTATGGATGAGTGTTTGATTCATTACGTATTGTGCATACTTGATATGTTATGAAATCTATATATTGTTATGAACAATACTAAACTCCCTAGTCATGTATCATTGTGGGAATAATGATATACCAAGACTAGTATGATGTGTGATTGATGATCATATAGATGATCATAGGTATTGGATACGATCACAGTCATAGGTATTCGTTGGAGAACGAAATACTGGATGACCCGCATGAGATTGTCACATGGACTAGCGTCATGACTTGAATCTCATATGGCGGTTCCATGATTGGATCCTGAGACCTGAGATATCTACGGAGTCCAACATGAGGAGTTGCGTGCTTTGAATATGTCAAACGTCCTGCGTAACAGGAGAACTATAAAGGCGTGTATCAGGTACGAAACGAATCATGTGCTGGATTGTAGATAGTCAAGATGGGATTTGTACCTCTCGTAAAAGAGAGAGATATCGCTGGGCCCCTCGTGTGAGCGAGACTGTAGAAATGTGTGGCCGCACTATAGACGAACGTCGTCTATTTCAGACAGTCGAACTCAGTGAACGAGAAAGCAGTCGAATCAGATAAGGTGGCTTGTCCATGCCTTATATTCGACATATGATATCGTGATACAAAATGATCATCAACCGAAATCATCAGTGACGTTCGTAAGATCACGAACAAACTCTATTCGAGATAGGTAGTCATAGTGTCTTGCTAGAGACCGTCTATGACTTGTATATTCGGAATAAAGATTTCGGGTTATACTGCTATATCGGATGAGCCCACAGGGTCACACACACAGGAAAGGACAAATGCGCGAGAAGAGACGAGAAAATCCCGGTGGAGCAAAGGCCAGACCGATCGGTCTGGGTCCCGAGGCTCCACCAAAATTTGGTTTTTCGTTTCGGGATCTGATTTGAGCAATCGTTGCTTAAACCGATCAACTGTGATTCAGATTAGCATGATTCGTTCATTTGGATGATCCATAGTGAATGAATGCATATAACTTAATCAGGATATTAGATATGCTTGATTGAGTGGGAGCTTAGGGATTGAGATTACATAATCGAATGGATAGTCTACTCGGATTATGTACAATCGTTGCACATAAACCGGTTAGATCTAGGAGCTCTATGAGTAAAGCACTTGTCAATGCATCGATCGTACCTGTCATGGGCCATGCCAAAGGTGGGTGTGCCGTATTATCTTGGTGAGGCAAGATGGAGAAATGGTGGTTCTCATAGCTTGAAAGTAGATGCTTGATCTAAGTGTGGTTTCGAAAATCCCTTATTTATGTAATGCTAAGCGTGTACCTCCCATTACTAGAGCGTCTGTCAAGGCATCGATCGTCCGTAACACGGGTCATGCCAAAGCTGAGCGTGCCGGATTATCTTTGTGAGGCAGGGTGGAAAATCTGGTTCCCACAGCCTGAACATGGTTTACCTTTGGTTAAATTGTCAAGTTTGACTTGAGACTTGATGGTACAGATGAGACGAGTATGCAATGATATTCGATATCATAGTCTCATAAAAGATCTAAGAATCACATTGGATGTGATTGACATTAGATGTCTACCTAAATAGCATAAGGATAAGTGTAACAATTTATTCTTGTGTGAAATACGGATCTTAGTCCCATATAGA